ATTTTGTAGCTCCATATGTTGCTATGAACTTTGATATTCCTGAGCGACTTAGTGAACCATTCAGTGTTTCTACACATGTTGGTGAGTCTATTTTAGTAGAGATAGTCTATTATGATTTTCCCATTGTCGTCAATCACAAGATTATATGGTTGATTTAATTGAGTCAGACATGGTAGACTTTGATGTCATTCTTGGCTGGATTGGGTTTATGCCTGTTATGCCTCAGTTGATTATTTGAAGTAGGTGAAAAACCTATAATAGGGACATATTTAGTCCTTTATGCTATGAAGAAAGTGCAACTTATTAGAGATAGACTTAATATAGCCCAGAGTTTTAAAAAATCTTATACAGATGTAAGTAGAACGGAACTAGAGTTCCAAGTTGATGATTGGGTTTTCCTGTGATGAGATTTGGAAAGAAAGGGAAGTTTAGTCTTAGATATGTAGGCCCTTACAAGATCTTGAAAAGGGTTGGCAAGGTGACATATGAGTTAGTGTTACCAGCAGAACTAGGAGCAGTGCATCCAGTCTTCCGCATCTCACTCTTGAAGAAGTGTCTGGGTGACCCAGCCTCTGTAGTTCTATTAAAGAGTGTGGTGGTGAAATATAGTCTTTATATGAGCATGTACCAGTTGAGATTCTTGGCCATCAGGTTATAAGGTTGAGAAACAGAGAAGTCGCTTTGGTCAAGGTTTTGTGGAGGAGTCAATCCGTAGAGGGAGCTACTTGGGAAGCAGAAGCAGCCATGAAAGCCAAGTATCATCACTCTTTCCTTCCGATTCTACTCCAGCTTGAGGTAATAGTTCTTCTTCAGTTTTTCAGTCTTACATGCGTGAATTCAGTCTTAGAATTCTGTTCCCTCAGTTTGTACTTGCATTTTCAGCTTATTTGCATGTTCTTGGAACTCCATTCAGTCAGAAATTCAGTTCTTAGTGTTAAGTGGTAGGTATTGCAGCACTCTCCCTCTATTTTTAGCTACTTTAGACTTCATTCGATGACGAATGTTCCCAAGAGGAAGATAATGTAACACCCCGTATCCAAAACGGACCAGAAATTAAATTTTAATAAAAAATGCAGGTGCAATTGATGGTCACCATCTATAGACCGTAATCTAATCTATAACCTGTACTATGGTGCCGTGATTCACCACTGTAGCCCTCCCAAACACTTATCAAAAAATTGAAAAAGTCTCGACGAACGAACAAACCTACGGCCCGTAAGTCATACTACAGTCCATGGTTTGTGTCCTTGGATCAAGACTCCTATACCCAGCCTCTAACATGAACTACAAACGACTTGCACAAACCGTTGTTCGATCAACGGTCCGTAGGTCTGATCGTAGGTGAAGATTAGATGTCAGTTAGGGGGAAAATATTGTTTGGTCAACTTCAAATGATCATAACTTTTAGTGCATAATGATATAGGTTTCCTGTTACCTATGTTTCATAGGTAATTGAATTATCTTTCCAAAGCCAGCAAGTTTGATAAATTTTGACCTCCGATTACAACGTTATGCCCATTTAGTGAAGGTCTGTCGAACAGACTCAAACGATAGTCCGTCAGTCCAGGTCTTCAATTTCTACAAAATTAATTATTTCAGGGGTCTTTTGGTCTTGTCCTAGTTCATTTAACACTAATATACGTTGTTTAAACCCTAAATTGTGAGATTTTAGTCATTTAAGCCTATAAACGTAACTAAAACTTACCTAAGTCAAATCATTAATAAAAATTTAGAAAATTAAGCAAGAGAGAAGAAAAAGGTCAAGAACCCTAGTTCAAGAACACAACAAGGTTCCATCAGTTCCAGCCCCGAAATCTAAAAACATTTCTCTGTGGTCTTCAATTGCTTCGAAATTAATTATTTCAGGGGTTTTTTGGTCTTGTCCTAGTTCATATAACACTAATATACATTGTTTAAACCCTAAATTGTGAGATTTTAGTCATTTAAGACTAGAAACGTAACTAAAACTTACCTAAGTCAAATCATTAATACAAATTTAGAAAATTAAGCAAGAGAGAAGAAAAAGGTCAAGAACCCTAGTTCAAGAACACAACAAGGTTCCATCAGTTCCAGCCCCGAAATCTAAAAATATTTCTCCGTGGATCTCATCACTAGGTATGTGAGATTTCACTAGTGGATTCATTTCACCCATTGGATCCCTAATTTTCAGTCAGTTTCTTGATTCTCGTATCATGACTAGACTTAGAGTTTTTAGAACTTCATCAAATTACCATAAATTAGTTAGTTATATTTTCCAAATTAGATTACCATGTTATTACTCAGTTACTTCAGATATACATGTCTCAGTTATTAATGAATCATTATCACATTAATTATTGTACTCTCAGTTTGCATGTTCAGTTTTGAGCTATCTAATATTTACCGAAATTTAGTCATAATATGTTAATAACTTAATTCATTGGGAGTAGCATAATAACGAGTTGGACTAGGATTGAGCGTACCTAAATAGTCCTAGAACTACTAGTCAAGTAGGTTTTAAAGTCTCCTCTGTGGGCATCAGTTTAGTGATCACGTACACATCAGACTCCATATTTAGCTCATGTGATTTTATTATCGGTTATTAGTAGCTGCCACTGTTCAATCAGACTTTATTGCATTGATCATATTTACAATTGAGTTAGTATTCAGTCTTAGCATGTTATAAGTTTGGTCATTGCATGGAGTTAGCTCAGAATTCGGTATATCATGTTCAAAATATTATAATTGCTTTTGTGTTTGTTTAGTTATGTTTTATTTCAGTTTTACTCTATTTTACATGCTCAGTACCTTTCATGTAATGATGCACATATGTTCTACATCTTCTCGTGATGTAGGTTCAAATTCTCAATATCCAGATCACGCTTAGTGGATTCCTGATCTCCAGTTCAGCAGAATCAATGGCTAGTCCTCATTATTCGAGGACAATAGTCATGAGTTTATTTCAGTATTTTAGTCCATTAGTTTCAGTTTTTGCTAGACTTAGCTGAGACCTGTCCCAACATTTCTAGTTAGTTAGAGGCTATTCTCAGACATAGTTAATTTCTGCTTAGTATTGAGTTAATATGTTCTTTCTATTAAACTCATTAGTTTCAAATATCTCAGTTATAGTATATATGGCTATTCCACATCCTTTAATTTTAATTCTGATTTAGCATCTATCAATTTATTATCTTTAGCATGCTCATGATCGTGTCAGCAGGGTTAGCTTGGGATACTTGTGGTTCGAGGTCCTGTGTCCCCGACTCGGGTTAGCTTGGAGCGTGACAATTTTTAAGAACGATCAATTTCGATTGCGGATATCTTCAAGATTTTGGTCCTACAAGGTATGTGAGTCTCTCATAGCGTTGGTTTCATTCACCCACATGTCAACCATGTTTAGTTAAGCACAATTTGTCCTTAAAGAGCTTGAAAATTGTTGTTCTTGAATGATTCTTGAAATTGAATGTTGTTTCCTTAATTGGGTTGAATTGTTGAGTTTTTTATATCTTTGAGTTGAGTTTTAAATTTATTTAAGTTAGATTTGTGAGTACTAATGCTAGGTATCGTGATCTAAAATGAATTTGAGGAAAATATTTGAGTGTAGGTCATGTCCCGGATGTAGGCTTGGGGCGTGACATCATTTCACAACACACCTTCGACCAACGACATTCAGAAGCTACCTGTTCACGCTAAGATCAATTTTGGTAGTTCTACTCGCCTTAATTCAATTCAGTAAAGTCATAAGGATTCCTTAACGACTTATCTATCCACGCATATAATAAAATTCATATTAAATCACCCAACCGTTACCATATTTCTCTAGACTTCATTGACTCATATTTCGTCCAAATTTGGACTAGGTTGGGAAACTCCAAGTTTCCATGAAAATGTTTTTCAACCCAAAAATTTTCCCCATTGGCTTTTCTAGAAAGACGGGACCCAATTTTTACATGGTGTGACAAATGACTCGCCTTTTGGAGTGACACCGTCCATTAATTTTATGTCTGTCATTTTTTTTAGCATTTTTAATAGTGTTTGGATGAACCATTATTATATATCATATCAAGGTGTAAGTTAACATGAAAATTAGAATAATAACCTCCTATATAGTAAATTGAATTAATAGATTATACTTGTTATGTTTTCATTTTGGATGTAGAAACATATTAAGTTATATAAACATTGTGAATTAAATTGTTATAACATGTTACTTAAATACTTGCTGTGAATCAAAAATGTTATAGCATGTTTGCAAAATACTTATCCAAAGTCACTTATCAAGGCTTTTCCTTTTTTTTTTATTAAGATATGACCAAACACATTGTCTTTCTTCTTTTTCTTTTTGTGTTTCATGGATTTATCAGTCTGTCATGGAATTTCTTATTGCATGGACTATTTTTAGCAATGTAAAGTCCAGCATAACATATATCCTTGTGTATCTCATCCCGCATACTAACTAACCCCCTAATCTCTAAGCTTCTTTCAAATTTATATCAATTTGAATTTGTTATAGATGAAACATACCAAAATAATGACGATTATTAGCAATTCCAATAAGTTAGTGAGTTCTTCATTGCTTTTGAGGTCTCCAATTTCACCATTTGAGTGGTGGTTATCTATGTTGCTCGAACTCTTTACTTCCGTTGCCGCATTCTTGTTGACACTACATGTGTGTGAGTGTGGGATTCATACCGTACTTCATCAATAAATTTGAGTACTTTCACAAAACTTGACAAAGAAATTTTAGACATATAAGGTCATTTCTGTTGTAAACTCATACTAAAAGTACCTTTTTGACGAACGCATAAATGGAATTCACCGCAGCTTGTACTTCAACAATAACTCTTATAGGAAATTCTCATAGCATGAGGCGTGTCTAAAGACACTGTCCTTAAGGAATTTCACCCGATATGAGTGTATCCCACAGAATGCGACAAGCTCTTATAGTAAAAAACTTGGAGCCAAAAACAAAAAAAACATTTAAAGAACAAAACCCAATATAATTAATTTTTCAAAAGAAGACCCCAAAATCATTATCACATGTCACGACCCAAAAATGTGGAAATTTTACAATCAACTTAAAAATACCCCACAACGTGGTTGTCACGTGTACAAGTCTCTAAAGTATTACAATTGAATCAAAGCAAACACTAATCTCAAATGAACTTGTTTCTAGAATAGAACAAGATCATAACTAAGGAGAGAGAAAGTCCATTGAGACGACAAACAACTACCTTACAAATCTCCAAGAAGCATTGAAAAAGAAGAGAATGATAAGTACCACAGAAATCCAGGCTCGCAATCTACAACAATAAAATTATAGAAGCAAGGGGTGAGTAACAAACCACACGGTACTCAGCAAGTAAATCCCTAAACACAAGCTAAGGGGATGAAATAGGTGTACTCCTACCACCTCAACCAAACCTCCACAACTACAACCTGCATAAAAAGCAATCCAACCTAACAACTCACATTTTACATCACACAGAGTTCAGCACCAACACTTGGAAAAATTATATATCCATAATAACAACACTTTGACAAATTAAATGTCCTCAACAACAACACTTTGACAAATTAAATGTCTTAAAAAACAACATTTTAACAAATTACATATCCTCAACAACAAGCTCAGTACTCATCAATCACTATTTCCACAGAAAGGCATTCACAAGATCAACAAAACACTATATCAAGTTCACTAATAATAAGTATGTTCAATGCAATGGAATGTAATGTCAAGTATAATGATGCATGTCTGACCTAGTGATATATACCCGCTAAAGTAGTATCATTGTAAAAAATGGGATCAAAGTCATATGTAGTACCTGAGATGGTAGATGACATGGTCGACGAAGGACCAGCACGAAGATAGCTATGACAAGCAGCATTATGAGAAGAAAGTTTATTCAGGAAAGACATAGTAGAGATTTGTGAGTCTTTGTTGGTATAAATTGAAGAATTCTCAAAGAAGATTACATACCGTGAGATTGATAATGAACGACATGTTGAATCATAACACAAATACCCCTTTTGAATATCATTGTATCATAAGAAAACACATTTAACGGCTTTTGAAGATAATTTATGACGTTCATGACCTTGAACAAGGACAAAACACACAACCAAATACATTAAGATGTAAAAGTCAAAAATTTTTTTTGAAAAGAACAAAATAAGGACAATTTTGTTTCATGATCGAGGATGATTGTCTATTTATGATTTAAATAGATGTTTGGATTGCTTCAACCCAAAATATTTTCGAAACTTTTGAATTATCATGAAGGGATAAGACAATTTCAACAACATGTCTATTATTACGTTCCACCACACCATTTTTTTTCTGGTGTATATGGACAAGAACGCTAATAAATTATGCCTTTTTATTTAAAAAAAATAGTTAGATTTGTATTTATATATTCCCCTCCTGAATCTGAACGAAAAATCTTGATCTTTTCTCAAATTGGGTTTCAATAAGGTTATAAAAATTTTTGACAGTATTTGGTACCTCAGACCTGTGTTTCAAGAAGAAAATTCCTATAAAACGAGATACTTGATCAATGAATCGAATGAAATACTTGTATCCCAAACGAGATATAGTTGGAGAAGGTCCCCAAACATCGCTATGAATTAAATCAAAGGGAGAAGAATAATTTGTACTGCTTAATTGAAAAGGAATTTTATGACTTTGATTTTGCACAACACTTACAAGGTAATTTAGAGGGGGAAATCAGTGAATGTTTGCCAACATATTAGAAGATTTGAGCATAAAATTTAACCGAGAAACGTGTGGATGGCCTAAACAGAGATGCCACATTTCACATTTTATTTGAAAATTGGATATCTTTATTTGAAGCTGAAAGAAAACACTAATAATGGAGTTTGGTATCCTGAGATTGAAGAAGAATAAGGCTGCCCACCTTACTTCCCCTGGCCATCGTTTTCCTTGTCAATATGTTCTGAATAACACAACCATTAGGATAAAAAATAACCAAAAAAAATTGTTCTACAAGTTGCCCAACAGATAAAAGACTTGCAGTAAGCTTTGGTACACAAAGAACCTCTGAAAATGGATTGATGGAGCCAATAGGTAATGCTGTTAAAACATGGCCATATCCTGTAACAATTTATGTTTGGAACGTGGTTTAGATAAATCAGAAAACAATTTTTAATTTCCTGTCATATGATTATATGCAGTAGAATCAATGTCATACCGTTGAGTATGAAAATTTAGTCTTACCAGGATACATGACAGTCAGAGCTGTAGAGATTGCATTAGGAAGAGCAGCCACTAATGATTCTTGTATCATTTTCTAGATATCATTTGCGATCAAGCACTTTTGTGCTTGGTGTTTCTCGTGTTTCAATATCCCTTGTCATTGCTTGGAAGATTTATGAGGAGTTGAGCGTTTTCCTGGACCAGATTTCTTACGACATTGCAGAATAATATGAACATCTTTCTTAGAATAGTTGCAATAATATTGCTTCTTGGAAATAATGTGCCATGTTCCTTGCAATGATATCATTGACCTAATTTATTAGAGTTGCCTGAGGAAGAACTTCTGTATGCAACCAAGGCAGTGTCCATGGTGAGGGAATTCTCCATGGAAGCTTGAGAACTCAACCGAGTTTCTTTTGAAGAACTTAAGTAAACTACCACCTCCAAAGCTGGTAGTTTTTCCTTGTTAAGAATACTAGCATGCAGATGCTCAAACTCGGGCCTCAGTTTCTTTAGAAATTGACTGTCGTTGTCCTTTTCATAGTAGTCATGAAATCCTGCAATCCAGCCACAAGGATAGAGGTGGCAAAAACCTGATCTTGTTCTGCCCATAATGTGAATAATACAAAATAGAAACAACAAACATTTTTCTCACCTTGTATAGATTCTGCAAGTATTCAAATTCTCGAGCCAGATTTTGTTGGTTACCGAGGGTATGTAGATGACTCCACATTTATGATGCTTTCACAAAATATGTATGTTCCATGGCTATATCAACAGAGACGGAATTGACAAGCCATGCAATAATTTTGCCATTGTCAGCCTTCCAAGCCTCTTTTTCTCTGTCTTCTGTGGGTACAACCTGTGAGACATCCAAATTATCAAGGAGGCCTTTGCCTCTAATTAAGGCTTAGAAATGGAACATCCAAATCAGATAGTTATGTCCATAAAATTTTGTTGACAAGGTATCTCGTGAATCAATCCTAATTCAAAAAGGAAAATAGAAATCAAAGGGGTCAGTCAAGGAACGAATTCAGAGATGACTATAGGAATGATGGATATGGATTGAGAATCTGAAGCAAAGATGAACGAAACATATTTACTGGAAAAAAACTTAATCATGAGGATCTGGAAAAAAAACAAGGCTCTTGATACCAAGTTGAATAATGATAGAGATCCAAAAGAATTAGAGATAAAAGAATTGTGGTTTGTTTATTGAATAATAAACTGTAGGATTTACAAGATATTTACACAAGTAATAGAGTCCTAATTATGTACTGATTTAAAGATAATGACCGTTAGCTATAATGGGAAATCCCTTATTTGGAGGAGATCCATGCTTTAGTGTTGATAAATAAGGTATAACCAAAAGTAAAAACCCAAGATGTTTTCTACAAGAGGTTGATGTGTGTGTATATAAATATAAATATAAACATAAATAATATATATAAATATAAATATAAATATAAATATAACCTAAAAGCATAAATTCCTAGCTTGAATGTTAAACTACTATAATATATCTAACTTAGGTTGTGACTTTTTCGATTAGTTTTGACTTTTTCGATAAGTTGTGACTTTTTCAAAGTAATTTCTCAGAAAGATAATGAATTTTCATAAAGAACAAAAACATTTGTTCATATGAGTTATGGCTTTTCTGATAAGTTGTTCCTTTTCTCAAAGAGTTGTGATTTTTCGATGAGTTGTGACTTTTCCAATAAGTTGTGACTTTTTCAAATGGTTGTGATTTCTCAAAAAGGTCATGACTTTTCAGATAAGACACAAAATTATTTCTTCATACTACCCTTTGTTGACTATAAATAGAGAGGTTTCCTCTCATTTGTTCTACCTCAATTATTTTTAATCTTCTACTCTTCTTCTTATATTTTAAATTTTTTTTGTGATTTATTATTGTTGAGTGAGTTAAAAGTTTAGCGGAATATGAGGTACCACCATTCTGATGAAGTAAATCGTTCTATCCTAAGAGGGTTATCCTATAACCTCAAGTACTTTAGGAAAATAATTTTGATGATATCATAATTATTAGTTTCCTAATATATCCATTAGTACGCAATGTGTTAAAATATGAAGTTAACATGATGTAGTCTAAATTCATATGTTTTTGTTAACGGATTCTCTTGAAATGTAAATAGATGCTTTTGAATATCTTTTTCCAAAATTTAGAGAATTGACACGATTTTTTTTAATACTCAAGACAAAAGAATGTTGTTTTTTGGTCAATGCTACTTATGTGATTTAGATTGTCATAATGTTTTCTTAAATATAATTAACACTATATAAACATTTCCGTTTTGTTTTACTTATTTAGTATTTATTTTAGACTAACAAAAGTTCATAAGACTTGTATTAATATCAACTGAAATTTGTATTAGTTTAATTTTTATATACACAACAAATATCGTTTACTAGGTAATATTAGTGAGATACAACTAATTACATGATTCAACCTCATCAAATTAAAATAAATATAAACATTATTACATTTAACTAATAAAAATTTCCATTGACCATCTTCATAGCTTTACGAGAATAAGTGATATATATGATAAATTCCATTAAACATTAATCACATAAGAATCTCTAATATTTTTTTTTATAAAGTTCACTACTGAAATATTTGCTTAAATAAACAATAGTATTCACTATAACATAATTTTTTGAATTGGTAATCATGTGTGTTGCACGTGTCAAAGAATTAGAATAATTAAAAGAGACAACATTTTTTATGTAGTTAACTTAACTACATAATAGTCGAATGAAAACAAGCATAAAAGTTTTTTCAAAATTTTAACAGAAAATGTCTTATTGAAACACTTTATAATGCATTGAGGTGTTCAATTGGAATTGACTTAGTTCGAGTGTGTAAATGAAATATCTTGACAAGTTAAAAGGATGTGTATGTATTAAGCATATAAATAAATACTTAGCAAAGACTTCATTAAGATACACATTCATGTACTGTATGGTATATGAGATTTAATTTTTGTATTATTTAATAAAACAAGAACTCAATTTCATTTTTGGTATGAATTGTTTTTCAACCCAGCAAAATTTGATGTTTACTGCTCTAATGCTTGTCACCAATTATATTTGTTCGTAGTCTTGTTTCTGTTACTATCTTGACTTTTGAGGGAGTGATATGCATTGCGTAAACTCTATCCCCCAGACCTTAAAATGGGAGTACATTGGTATGTTGTGATATTATGTGGGTAACACAAAGTTAGTGCTACTATAATAGAATTATTTAAATGCATTTTGTTAAATGCAAACGCAAGATTGAAACCAAAATTATTAAATATTATCAGACTCAAACCTTAGCCACCCAAAAAATGGGGTCTATGATTACTGATCTCACTCTCGAAATCAGTGTAATGATATATACAAATCTTAGGCTTATCCATTTCACATGGTGAATGTGGCCCAACTTGACATCTCTCTAAGTCAAGTTTGTAATATTTTTCCCTTGGATATTTGCTATTATCAATAAAGTCAGCTGCCCATCCCATATAATATTCTAATTTAAAGACTCCACAAAGACTTCATTAAGAAATACACAAATTCTTCAAGTTCATCAGAATTAGTTGCTTTCGAGTAATTTGTAAAGTTGTTGTCATTTGATTAGGAGGACACATATTTAAAGGCGTGAAAACAAGCTCTGGCAGAAGTGTAAGGGCTGTACACAATAGACCCTTGTGATTCGTCCCATTCTCGAAGCCCACACACATAGGCATGCATTTTAAGATGTTTTAATACAAAAAGTCATCAAAGGTCTTTGATTAAGATTTACACACACTTCTGCACGTTCATGAACCAGCCTGCCAATTTAAAATATTCTAATGCAAAGACTTCAATAAATGGAGTTCATCAATGTATATATATATATATATTCTCCATTAGGTTACATTTAGTTCCTATCACAGGTAAGCCATCTTATTTTGAAGATACAAATTCCATATTTTTTTCAATGCATTATAAATTGATACCATAAAATATTGTTAATTACTATATTGTTCCTCCCCTTCGTCACAGTTAATGTTTTTTTTTACGATAATAATAACACATTCAGTCTAATCCTACAACTAAGATTTGGAGAAGGTAGCTAGGATGTAAGCAAATTTTATCTCTATGTATATATGGTAAAGAGATTGTTTCCAATAGTCCCTCGGCTCAAAAGGAATGTTATCAAAGTAAGATTGCAAGAAATATATTACAACCAAGTTGCACGACATAAAGAAAATAAAACAACAAATAGTGAGACACATAGAAGAATATGAGACTACACAATTACTAAATACTACCGCAATGATTTGAAGAGGAAAAGGAAGGAGGCTATCCCCCCTACTCTCCCACATACAGTGCGACAACACCCGACAAACTACTAACATTCTACCCTATATCCTTCACCTCCATACTTCCCTATCTAAGATCCTTTCCATAGTAAGTTAGAGCTATGCTAAATCATATGTAATCACCTCCCCGCAATGTTTTTCCTGTATGCCTCTACCTATCTTAACTCTTCCTACAACCAAACTATCACATCTCCTATTTGGTGTTCGCTTTCACCTCTTCTTCACATGACCGAACACCTTAGCCTCACATATCTCATCTTGTTTGGCATGGAGCCACACCCACCTTGTATCAAACAACTTTATTCCTGATCATATCTCTCTTAGTGTGCTCATACATCCATTTGAGTATCCTCATCTCAATTATTTTCATCTTTTGGATGTCGCCTTTCCTAAAAGACCATCACTCTATCATAAGTTACATAACTAAACGTCATATTAATAATCAAATATATTGTAAGGAAACAACTCTTATATGGTTTGATGAAGGGACCCTCAAAGTCAATATAATTATAATAGAAGTATTTAACTTGTCGTGTAGATGCAAGCCAAATAACTCCTAATAATGTAAGCTAGCTTGCCACACCATGTGAAATGGATGAAACCTGAGACTCATTTAATGTTTTATTTTCTATTCTAAACTAAAAGAAACGCTCAACAGAGGCTTCACCATTAACATAGGCTAAACCGTGTAATTTTCCGACAAGGGGTGTCAATTATCACCCATTTGCATAGGTGTCTCCACCATCGCTTCGGAGGGGGGCAAAAATTAAAGTCAATCGTAAAATAGGGAAAGTTGGTAAAAACACATTCTTGCATCTTTTGAACATAAATTTATCGTAAGAATATCAAATACATTGCTAGCTGCATCTTTAGCTCTGTTCATGTTTTATGTAGGCCTTATTTAATTTGTCCTCCAGATGCAAGCCAACAACATCTAATAATGTAAGCTAGCTTACCACACCATGTAAAATGGATGAAACCTAGGACTCGTTAAATGTTTTATATTCTATTCTAAACTAAAAGAGAGGCTCAGCAGAGGCCTCACCATTAACGTAGGCTAAATAGTGTAATTTTCCGATGAGGGGTGTCAAATATCACCAATTTGCATATGGTGGCCCCTCAACTGCTTTGGAGGGGGCAAAAATTAAAGATCATCCTAAAATAGGGAAAGTTGGTGAAAACACATTGTTGCATCTTTAGAACATAAATTTATCGGGAGAATATCAAATACATTGTTAGCTGCGTCTTTAGCTCTGTTCAGGTTTTATGTAGGCCTTTTTACAGGAAGAAGAATCATAGACAATCAAAAAACAATGGAAGAGATGCAGCTGATGAATCAGACAGTAACGACAAGACCAACTGAATGTTCTAAAGTAACATACATACCAGTTGCAAATGCAATTACAACGATTGTCATTGCATAAATCTGCAATGCAATTGCCATATTATGAAGTTGGATTATAACTGTCAACTCATTTACAGTGGGTATTGCATTTGCTGCCATGGAAAAATAGGCAAGTACAACACCAGAGGAGCATGTAATGGCAATGGCATCTGAAACAACAAATACACGGACTGTTGTTCTCCTTTATAGAATTGTCATACCTTTATTGGGGCTTTTAGTCTCGCTTTCAAAACCTCCTGGCGGTGTTAAAACTAGCAGTGAACATCAATGTCATTAATAAAGTTTCCATAACTAAATGCATTTAAGTTGTCTTTATAAGATTTTCGACTACTTTTAAATCTCGCCTTGCTATGTCTTCATGATCATTACCCTCTGACTCCACCTGTGGTGGTACACCCTAACATCTTCCCGATTGTTGCAGAAAATAAGTGCGACGGGACTATATTTACAACCTGGGGCATGGACATTCTTTTTTATTTAGGCTATTACATATCTAAATTTATGATCTTGGTTTTCCTTTGCTTTGCCTGGAAGAAACAT